ACGCTTACCTGCTGCTGCCTCCTGCCTGCCCTGCTTCTTTTCACACTTCCCATGAAGATCTGATTCGCGGGAAGCAGGGGAGGGGGAGGAGCAGGTGGGTGGAGCGTTCAGGGGAGGGGAAGAGGGGGAAGACAGCTGTGGGGCCGGACAGCATGGTAAGGCTGCAGGGGATGGGGGGAGCCGGGAAGGGGCTTTGGGTGCCCAGCGGCGCTTGGCCGCTGCTTTTCTATCTATAAATAGCCGACCGGAGGGAAATCCCGGACATTTTTAGATTTTTAAAAATCCCCCCCGGATGGCTATTTATAGCCCAAAAAGCCGGACATGTCCGGGGAAATCCGGACATATGATAGCCCTATGATAGGGGGGCTGCCGGTCCACCCTGGTTCCAAGCCCCCACCAGCTAGCTACAATGGGCTGCTCTTCCTGCAAGCAGTGGACAAAGCAGGCGACTGCCAAACGATGTTAGAAGGGAGCATTGCACAACTTTAAACGAGCATGTTCCCTAATTGATCAGCAACGAAACAATGTTACCGGGACGACTTTAAGTGAGGAATTACTGTATAAAGTCTCTCTGGCTCATTTTAAGCAACCTTCAATTCCCAGATTGTGATGAATGAACTTTGTGCATAATCTCATTCTTAAGAGCTGCTGAAATAACTGCTCTTTTTCCCTGAAATAGAACATCATCTGTACACACGTTTTGTCTCTCTACTGAAAGAATGGTGTTACCTCTTTAAGTACTTGGTCTTTTGTCCCTGGCCATCCTTGTGGGATCATGAGTTTCAATGTCTTAAGCATTCTCTCTTGCTCTTTACCTCTCTGTATATCTCTCAGCCTTTCTTCCAAGATAGGTAGGTACTGTACCACATTTATTTTCTCCCTCTCAGTCTCTACAGATCCTTCCTTACTGGGTTCTGGCAAGTATGCGTGGGCCTAAGATGTGCATCAAAACCAAGTCTCTGCCTGAGCAATACTTGATCTGTATGTCGTACATCTGCAGTCCTATCATCATCTACTGTAAGCACTTTGCTACACTGAGTAATGGCTTTCTCCAAATGCTTTTGAGAGTTGTGTGGTCAGATCATATATCCATGGTGCAACTGTAAGTATATTGGTGATTTTTTTCCATTCCAAAGAGTATGGCTAACAGCTCTTTTTCAATTTGAGCATAGCTCTTTTCTGTCACAGACAATGCTGTGCTTGTAATCACAACAGTTTGTCCTCATTGTAACATGGTAGCCTGACACCCAACTCAGATGTATCACATT